TATTATTAAAAGCATATGCTCAGTGCTCACTTGGTGAGTTCACTTTCCTCCCGAGTCCCGCCTTTCCCACCCTGCAAAACCATTCCCTCTTCTACTCTATATTATTCTTAATTTATCATTCATTTCATTGTCATTTTCATTCATGTGCTGGAGTTGAATGTCAACTAGTTCCTTCTTTCCTAAGGATCTCCTTTCTCTCTCCACATTGCCTAGCTTCCTCGGTCAGAACCTGAATATTTCTCTCTCCTGCAAATCTAAAAGTTTGATGATCCATTGACTTTGTTCTACTGCCTCGCCCCCTCTCTCTTTGGGCTCTGAATTTCTATGTGTGTATAGTCTTCAATTGGGTAATTGAAGGTTGAGTTGAGTTTTCAGGAACCCAGATGGCTCACATTCTGCTTCATGGGACCATTCATGCTACTATATGTGAAATTGATAAGCTCCATGCTGGTTTTGGCAAGAAACTTTTCCATAAGGTATACTTTCATATACCGACTTACTTGTGTTGCTTCCTAGGTATGTAGCCAGCTTTTAAAGAGAATTTCTTTTTCTGGGTGTATGATTATTAGTAATCTTTTCGAAACAAAAGAGATGCGATAGGAAGTGCAAGATTAGAGTATCGGAAATCACTTTTGAATGTCACCTTCACTTTTCATTCAATAAAAACACGTACCATGTACATTTTTACTATTTTATTATTATATATTCAACTATTGCAAGATCATTCAGTTCAGAGATTTTTGGAGTCACGGTACTCCAGTCAGTACGGTAGCCTCATCTACAAGATTGAAAAACTAAAGGAAAAAGAACCATACCCTGTTCATTTAAGCTATTAATCTATGCATTGTGGGGGGGAAACAATGATTTGCAGAGTAAATATGGCTGTTAAATACAATTATACATTGAAAATCACAATCTTTTGCAACAAATCTTCTGGGATTACCGTCTTGAGATGTTCTCATCAGGTTCTGGAAAGGGTGTAAGCTTGCAATTTACCATGTTTTGGGGGGGCAACTTCGATTTTGTACATCATAAATTACATATCAATACGATTTCGTTTATTTACCAAAAAATCTTGCAGAAGAAAACTAGAAAGCATGGACCAGATCTGGGAAAGTTTCCTTGATTTACTTTCCCTTTTCCTTTTAGTTCTGCAAGCAAGAGTTTTTAGCTCACTTTAATTGAAAAGAGCACTGTGTGTGTATATGTTTGCTGCTACGATGGTTGAGATTGAATTAGTCATGATATCTCAGTATTGGATCACTGAAATTGTTTAAAATCTCGATGTTACTAAGCAACTTAACTCGATTGAGCCTCGTCTCAAGTACTTGGGAGTTGACCACATGAATCATATTCCGCTTTTGTGCTCGGTGCTTTGAATCCTATTGCGCCATTGTGCTATTTAAAAGGCCAAGGATCCAATTTTATGTGCCAAACCACTGTAATTGACTGTGTTTATTATCTCCCATTCAAATCCATGTAATGTTAGGGTGTCCATGGGCCTCTTAGCCACGGAACTCGTTACGCGATTTGAAAAAATAGGACCGAAATCTGATAGGTCCAATAATTAGTTCATTTGAATTTGAGCCTAATATCCTTAAAAAAAAAAAGGTTTGGGCTTGTTCCTAAACCCATTACCTGTCCCAATAGCCCGCCTGCAAAAATCCTTTAAAACCCGGCCCAAGGCCCCGTCCCGCCCAACATTCCTTTGAAAAAAATTTAGACGGTTAGATTATTAAATTTGAAACTTTGAAATAATTCCTCCAATATCGAAATTTGAAGTTTTAGAAATTTAAATATTATAAATAATGTATTATTTTATTTTATATGTATTAAGAATACACGTTTTAAAGGGTAGAGTTGTGCAAATAATAGATAACGACGTAGGTTCTCATTCTATTGTGATGTAGTTTTACCCCTATTCAAAAATAAAATTATTCATTATTTACTTTTTGTCCATTTTAACTTTATTTTTGATTCAAAAATATAATTTACAAAAATATTAAGTTACAAAAATATTTATTATTTTAAAGGAAAATTTGTGGGAAGGTACAGTTTTTTGAAAATATTCCTAGAAAAGTTTATTGCCCAAACTTTTAGGTTAGTAAGTATATTTTTAATAAAATATTTGGTGGCTAAATACATATTTTCATATTTTAATAGAACCTAAATGTACTTACTTATTTTAGGCAATATCTAGTAGTTTCTTTCTTTCTTTTTTGATTTTGTTTTTATTGACTAAGTAGATTCTTATTTTAATGGGCAATAATCATTCAAATTTTAAAAAGATTACACAAATATATTTGGCATTTACATTTTTGCTATATATTGATCCCAACTGTAATCATTTTTTTATATTTTATTTTGCATATCTTCATTTTTCATATTCATCGTTTTCAAACAACCACCGATACTTATTATCAGTCTTCTATAAGAGGGGTCATCAATTTTTTGGTATTTGATGTCACACGATTTTTAAAATTATGTCACTTTTTAATGTCACAATTCNGAGATTGAATTAGTCATGATATCTCAGTATTGGATCACTGAAATTGTTTAAAATCTCGATGTTACTAAGCAACTTAACTCGATTGAGCCTCGTCTCAAGTACTTGGGAGTTGACCACATGAATCATATTCCGCTTTTGTGCTCGGTGCTTTGAATCCTATTGCGCCATTGTGCTATTTAAAAGGCCAAGGATCCAATTTTATGTGCCAAACCACTGTAATTGACTGTGTTTATTATCTCCCATTCAAATCCATGTAATGTTAGGGTGTCCATGGGCCTCTTAGCCACGGAACTCGTTACGCGATTTGAAAAAATAGGACCGAAATCTGATAGGTCCAATAATTAGTTCATTTGAATTTGAGCCTAATATCCTTAAAAAAAAAAAGGTTTGGGCTTGTTCCTAAACCCATTACCTGTCCCAATAGCCCGCCTGCAAAAATCCTTTAAAACCCGGCCCAAGGCCCCGTCCCGCCCAACATTCCTTTGAAAAAAATTTAGACGGTTAGATTATTAAATTTGAAACTTTGAAATAATTCCTCCAATATCGAAATTTGAAGTTTTAGAAATTTAAATATTATAAATAATGTATTATTTTATTTTATATGTATTAAGAATACACGTTTTAAAGGGTAGAGTTGTGCAAATAATAGATAACGACGTAGGTTCTCATTCTATTGTGATGTAGTTTTACCCCTATTCAAAAATAAAATTATTCATTATTTACTTTTTGTCCATTTTAACTTTATTTTTGATTCAAAAATATAATTTACAAAAATATTAAGTTACAAAAATATTTATTATTTTAAAGGAAAATTTGTGGGAAGGTACAGTTTTTTGAAAATATTCCTAGAAAAGTTTATTGCCCAAACTTTTAGGTTAGTAAGTATATTTTTAATAAAATATTTGGTGGCTAAATACATATTTTCATATTTTAATAGAACCTAAATGTACTTACTTATTTTAGGCAATATCTAGTAGTTTCTTTCTTTCTTTTTTGATTTTGTTTTTATTGACTAAGTAGATTCTTATTTTAATGGGCAATAATCATTCAAATTTTAAAAAGATTACACAAATATATTTGGCATTTACATTTTTGCTATATATTGATCCCAACTGTAATCATTTTTTTATATTTTATTTTGCATATCTTCATTTTTCATATTCATCGTTTTCAAACAACCACCGATACTTATTATCAGTCTTCTATAAGAGGGGTCATCAATTTTTTGGTATTTGATGTCACACGATTTTTAAAATTATGTCACTTTTTAATGTCACAATTCTTTTTAATTATGACAGACTATTTTTAAAATTATGTCACCCTTTGATGTCACATTATTTTTAAAATTATATAACTCTTTAATGTCGCATTATTTTTTTAAGTATGTCACACTATTTTTTAATTATATCACTATTTATTATGTGAATGCACTATTTGATGTCATGTTATTTCTTAATTATGTCACTCTTTTATTTATAAACACAAATTCATGAGGTTTTTGAATTTTTTAGGAATTTGGGAGTTAATAAGTAAGAACTTTTTAGGAAAATCATAAGATTGTAATATAAGAAAATAGTTGCTTTTGAAATCTAAATAGTTGCATTTTTTCATGGAAAGAATTTTGGTTATACATTTTTATGGAATAATTGCATCAATTTAATACTTTTCCCCTTGTATCTTGCATTCCGTGATTAAAGGAGTTTGAATAAAACTTCGTTGAAAAAATAACTCAGTTAATAAATTGATTTTGTTTCTTAATTTGGTTTAGCTAATTCAGTAAATAGATAATTAAGGGTATTAGAGTCTTTTTAATTCGAAATGTAGTTCTTAATAAAAGAAATTTGGTGATTGGACTTTTTGACAAACAAGTTATTAAAAGTGTACCGGTCCATAAATATCTTTTTTTTTTTAAATGAAGTTGTATATAAAAAAATTTACGAGCAGACCCACTTAAAAGGCCTCTCTAATAGGTTTACAGGTTGGGCTACTAATAGTCTATCCTTATCCAAAGCCCGGTATGACCCACTCAATAATTCACTTGGGTAAAGGCTTGACCTACCCTACCCAGACACAACCAAAAAAAAATTTCATGGGTGTAGCCTGGCCTGGCCATGGACACCCCTAAATGTTAACATGGTGAATGCTTGATGCTTGGGCAGTTATACAAAGGCTAAAACTTCAGTATTCATTGAGATTGAGGGGTCTGTTTTAAGTATGCCTAAACATCAACAAAATCAAATTCAAGAGAAAAATACGATATCTTATTCATTTTACTTGTGATCAAAGTTCTTTCTCCATCGTTCTTTTTTGACTCATAGGTCGGATTTTTTGCCCTTAGCAACATCGGAGATAAACCACTTCCCTATTATGAATCCTTTTGTTCTCTTCAACAATGCGTAGTTGCTAATCTGCCAGTTTCCCTAGTTCTTTGGTTTGATTCACGCATACCTTAAAATTGACAATTGATTTTCCTGTCTTGTCGACTTGATTTATGTTCCTTCCAATGATATTTTTGGGGCAGATAGTGGAAGGCATTGAGGAGGCTGTGGGGTTTCATAACACTGCCTCAAAACTCTATGCAACAGTCGATTTAGGAAAAACCCGAGTGGGACGAACTAGACTGTTGAAAGCAGACTCCAATCCTCGCTGGTACGAGTCATTTCACATATACTGCGCCCATATGGCTTCCAATATTGTGTTCACTATCAAAATGGACAACCCTGTTGGGGCAGAACTAATCGGAAGAGCTTACATGCCGGTCCAAGAACTGCTGAGAGGAGAAGAAGTGGATAAATGGCTTGACATCTTACATGATAACCATAAACCTATACAAGGGCATTCTAAGCTCCATGTGAGGCTACAATACTTTGATGTTACCCGAGAACGCCATTGGTCTCGAGGGATAATAAGTGCAAAGTGTCCAGGGGTGCCTTACACATTCTTCTCTCAGAGAAGTGGATGCAAAGTTACACTTTACCAAGATGCTCACATTCCAGACAACTTTGTTCCAAAAATTTCTCTCTCAGGGGGAAAGTATTATGAGCCACACCGATGTTGGGAAGATATTTTCGATGCCATTTCTAAAGCAAAGCATTTGATTTACATAACAGGATGGTCTGTGTACACTGAAATTACCTTGATAAGGGACCCAAGGAGGCCAAAGCCTGGTGGAGATATGACTCTGGGGCAGCTGCTCATAAAGAAAGCCAATGAAGGTGTGAGGGTGTTAATGCTTGTTTGGGATGATAGAACTTCTGTTAAGTTGCTAAAAAAAGATGGACTGATGGAAACGCACGATGTAGAGACTGGAGATTACTTTCAGAAAACTGAAGTCCACTGTGTTTTATGCCCGCGTAATCCAGATGATGGACGGAGCATAATTCAGGATATCGAAATTTCTACAATGTTTACTCATCATCAGAAGATTGTATTGGTGGATAGTGAAATGCCCAATGGAAATCCAGAAAAGAGGAGGATTGTGAGTTTTATTGGTGGTATTGATCTTTGTGATGGGAGGTATGATACTCCCTATCATCCTATTTTCCGGACTTTGGACACAACACACCATGATGATTTTCATCAGCCTAATTTCAAAGGAGCATCAATCCGAAAAGGCGGGCCAAGAGAGCCTTGGCATGATATACACTGCAGGTTAGAAGGACCTGCTGCTTGGGATGTGCTGTTCAATTTTGAGCAAAGGTGGAGGAAACAAGGTGTCAAGAACGTGCTTGTTGAGTTAAGAGAACTCGAAAACATAATAATCCCACCATCCCCAGTTATGTACCCGGACGATCATGACACGTGGAATGTTCAAGTGTTTCGATCCATTGATGGTGGAGCTGCATTTGGATTCCCCGAAGCACCCGAAGCTGCAACCAGATCCGGGCTTGTAAGTGGGAAGGATAACATTATTGACAGGAGCATTCAGGATGCTTATATCAATGCCATTCGTCGTGCAAAGAATTTCATTTACATCGAAAATCAATACTTCCTGGGAAGTTCTTTCTCTTGGAATTCAGATGATCTGAATGATGAGGACGTTGGTGCTTTGCATCTTATCCCTAAGGAACTATCACTGAAGATTGTGAGTAAGATCGAGGCGGGGGAGAAGTTTACTGTCTACATTGTGGTTCCAATGTGGCCTGAGGGCCAACCAGAGAGCAATTCTGTTCAGGTAATACTGAATTGGCAGAAAAGAACCATGCAGATGATGTATACTGACATAGTTCAAGCACTTCAAGCCAAGGGGATCGTCGCAAACCTAAAGGACTATTTGGCCTTCTTCTGCCTTGGTAATAGGGAGAGAAAGAGGAGTGGCGAGTATGAACCTTCAGAGGCACCTGGAGAAGATACAGATTACAGCAGAGCTCAGCAAGCCAGGCGGTTCATGATCTATGTTCATGCTAAAATGATGATAGGTAATTTTTGTCAAAGAAATTTTTGACTTTTTTACATGATTGCTAGAAACTCTCATGGGGTTTCATAGAATTTTATTTTCTATCATTTTTTCGACATGAATGTTGCCAGAAAAATCGCAGTCATATCACGTTGATACGTAGCACCCACATTCCTTAAACTAAAAGGCATCAATTTCAACCAATATAACACCAAACTCTCAACGTTCAATGGTTTTCTTTTGCAGTTGATGATGAATACATAATAATTGGATCCGCGAACATCAACCAGAGGTCAATGGATGGAGCCAGGGACACAGAAATTGCGATGGGAGGCTACCAACCATACCATCTATCCACCAAGCAGCCAGCTAGGGGTCAGATTCATGGCTTTCGGATGGCATTGTGGTATGAACATTTAGGCATGATTGATAACTGTTTTCTTCAACCTGAGAGCTTGGATTGCATCCGAAAGGTGAACCAGTTATCCGAAAAGTATTGGGAGCTCTACTCATGTGAGACCTTGGACCGCGACTTGCCTGGTCATCTTCTCAGTTACCCAATTGGAATCACTTCAAGCGGGGAGGTCACTGAGCTACCAGGGTTCGAGTACTTCCCAGACACCAAGGCTAGAGTTCTTGGTTCTAAAGTTGAATTTTATCCTCCAATTCTCACTACTTAATATCGTTGTTTTCCTCACTTGAACTCAAGTAATGTCTAAATTAACATTCCTCTTTTCAACAGAACAGTAAATGTATTGGTCATAATAAAACATACATTTGTGTGCGCTTAAATATGGCTCTAAATAAAATTCAAGGGTGGTATGCAGCTGACTTCATCAGAATTCCACATTTGAGCATGCTTGGGTGAGAATAATACTAGGTTAGGTGACCCCTCGGAAGTCCTCGAGTTGGACTCCTTCATCTATGTTTGGTTTATCAGCATATATCTCCTGGGTTTGAATTTGATGGCAGGTCTTCTCTTCAATATGTTCCTCTTAATCTTTTATGACCATTGAACAGGTATATTGGAGTCACAACAAGAATGAATTTGGTATCTGACCACGATTTTAACTGAACTAGTGTAGGCATCTGAGTAACCATAGTCTGGTACTGTGGAAACTGATGAATGTGTTAACACTGTGGAATCAACTTCTTGAAGGTTTGCAAGCAAGTATCAAAATTTTCATCTCGGTCAGTCGGGACGAAAACAAAAACGTTTTGGAAATGTCGAGACAATCCGAAACATCTCGAGTCATTATGAAACACTGCAAAAACATTAAAAATTTGATATTCAATAGTTGATTCTTTTTGGTTTTAATGGAAATGGAGACGTTATAGTTGTTTTGGTGAAAAAGGAAAAGAAAAAGGAATTTTGATTTTTGTTTGAAAGACGATTGATTACGCATTGGATTAAGACATTAGAATCTTTAAGAAAGAGATTGTCAACCCCATGTTCTTTTACCCTGTTTAGAAAATATTTTCCAATGGTAAAAGTTGCGAAGAGTTTTTCCTTTGTCTCAAACAGTGTTATTACTATTGGTCCTATTAAGCAACATTTACCTACACAATCTCGATCAACATTTATTTGTATGTTAAAGTAATCTTAGCCATAGATCTTAAGTTGTCTAATGGCAAGAAGTTGATTATGGTATGAATAACTACTATTCATTTTCATTCCATAGAATCAAACATATATAAACATTCGGGACGTGTCTAGAGTTGTTCAAATATATTTTTTTATTTATATTTTACTCCTTAATAGATTATTGCCATGTATGAATAATGGACCCATTTACAACCAATGTCCTAGATAAATTCATAATAAAGAAGAAGAAAAAAAAGTAGAAAAAACTATATTGAGACTAGACATGTTGCACATCTAAGGCATTGCTTAAGAAAACAGAGTGGCTGAATTGCAACTACTATTGCACCTACACTACGGCTAAATGGAGTTGGCTTCAATACCGAAAAGACGAAAATCAGTACCATACCGAAAAGTGAAAATCAATGTATGTTTGTCACCTCTTAACTCCAAAACTCATAAAAACTTATAATCGGTTTCACCGGTTTCGTATATACTTTAAACATAGACCCTATACACTTTAGAAAATTTAAACATGAATCCTATACACTTTAAAAAATTTAAACATGAACCCCTATACACTTTAAAAAATTTAAACATTAACCTCCTATACACTTCAAAAAAGTGACAATGTTAAAACTAAGGTTGAGATTATAGTAGCCTTATATTTAAAAAAAAAAATACACATTTTTTGTTAACATTGTCACTTTTTTTTGTTAAGATTACTATTTTTTTAGTTAAGAGTACCACTTTTTTTTGTTAACATTACCACTGTTTTGATTAAGAGTACCACTTTTTTGGTTAACATTACCACTATTTTGATTAAAAGTACCACTTTTTTTGTTAATATTATCACTATTTTAGTTAAGAGTATCATTTTTTTGGTTAATATTATCACTGTTCTGATTAAGAGTACCTTTTTTTTTGTTAATATTACCATTTTTGTGATTAACAATACCACTGATTTAGTTAAGAATATCACTGTTTTGGATATTATTACCATTTTTTTTGTTAACATTACTATTGTTTTGATTAAGAGTACCACTATTTTGGATAATATTACCACTTTTTTTGTTACAATTACCACTGTTTTGGTTAAGAGTACCACACTTTTGGTTAATATTACTACTGTTTTGATTAAAAATACTACTTTTTTTTATTAACATTACCACTGTTTTTGTTAGTATTACCACTTTTTTGGTTAACACTACCACTGATTTGGTTAATAGTATCACTATTTTGGATAATATTACCACCTTTTTAGTTAATATTATCACTATTTTGGTTAAGAGTACCACTATTTTGGATAACATTACCACTATTTTGATTAAGAGTACTACTTTTTTTTATTAACATTACCACTGTTTTGATTAATATTATAATTTTTTTGGTTAACATTACCACTATTTTGGCTAAGAATACTATTGTTTTGGATAATATTACCACTTTTTTTGTTAAAATTACCATTGTTTTGCTTAAGATTACCACTCTTTTTATTAACATTACCACTGTTTTGCTTAAGTGCAGCTTTGCGATCAAGGTAGCGATCAAAGGATCAAGTAACGATCAAGTTAGGGATCATGCACTCTTGCGATGAAGAGCAATCAAGTAGCGGTCAAGGGATCAAGTAGAAATCAAGATTGGGATCAAGTGCACTATTGTGATCAAGAGCTTGATACCGATTGGTGCAATAGCAATCAGGGATCATCACAGTAGCAATCAAAATTAATATATTTAATTAACATAACAAATTAATATTATATTAAAAACATTCAATTTATCAAATTAACATTAAAATTCAACTTAATTAATATTAAATTCATCTAATTTATATATCCATAATCATTCAATTAACATTTAATTTATTCAATTAACATCCATTAAAAATTCACTTATTAAACTAACATTTAATTTCATTTAATTTATATTTAATGTAAGAAATACACCTAGGCCCCATAAATTTTGTCACTTAATCACTCAGACCCATGACATTTGAAATATTTCACACAAATCCCTTGAAGTTTGTTCACGTAATACTTAGACCTATGCTGTAAATATATTAGTTAATAAATTACACTTAGACCCCAAATTAAAATTCAATTCATCAACTTAACACCAAATTAACAATCAATTTTATGTAATTAACATTTAATTCATTAAATTAATATTTAATTCATCAAATTAATATAAAATTAACACTCAATTTCATCTAATTAACATTCAATTTTTTATAATAACTATTTAATTCACTAAATTAACATTCAAATTCAACTAGTTAACATTAAACTTATCAAACAAACTTTCAATTTCATTCAATTAACACTTAACTCATCAAATTAACATTCAAATTATAAAATTAAAATTCAGATTTATCAAATTGATATTCTATTACAACAAATTAACATGTAATCAACACCAAATTAATATATAATTTTATCTAATTAAAATTTAATTTATTAAATTAACACCAAATTAACATTCAATTCATCAAATTAATACCAAATTAATAATCAATTCCGTTTAATTAACATTAAATTTTTTCCAATAACCATTTAATTCACTAAATTAATATTCAAATTTAACTAGTTAACATTAAATTAATCAAATAAACTTTCAATTTCATTCAATCAACACTCAATTCATTAAATTAACATTCAGATTTATAAAATTGACATTCAATTTCATCAAATTAACATGTAATTTCATCCAATTCAAATTTAATTTATCAATTAACATTGAATTCATTAAATTAATATTCAATTCATTAAATTAATACAAAATTCACAGTTAATTTCATCAAATTAACATTCAATTTTTTCTAAGAAGATTTAATTCACTAAATAAACATTCAAATTCAACTTGTTAACAATAAATTAATCAAATAAACTTTCAATTTCAATCAATTAACACTCAATTCATCAAATTGATATTCAAATTATCAAATTAACATTGAGATTTATCAAATTGACATTCAATTTTATCAAATTAATATGTAATTCCATCAAATAAATACCAAATGAACATATAATTTTATCCAATTAAAATTTAATTTATCAAATTAACAAAAAATTTCATATAATTAACATTAATTTTTTTCTGATAATCATTTAATTCACTAAATTAACATTCAAATTCAACTAGTTAACTTTAAATTAATCAAATAAACTTTCAATTTCATTCAATTAACATTAAAATTATCAAATTAACATTAAGATTTATCAAATTTATATTCAATTTATCAAATTAACATGTAATTTCATCAAATCAACATATACTTTTATCCAATTAAAATTTAACTTATCAAATTAACACCAAATTAACATTTAATTCATCAAATTAACACCAAATTAATAATCAATTTCATGTAATTAACATTCAATTTTTTCTAATAAGCATTTAGTTCACTTGATTAACTTTCAAATTCGACTACTTAAATTAATCAAATAAACTTTCAATTTTATTTAATTAACACTCAGTTCATCAAATTAATATTCAAATTATCAAATTAACATTAGAATTTATCAAATTGACATTCAATTTCATCAAATTAACATGTAATTTCATCAAATCAACACCAAATTAACATATATTTTTATCCAATTAAAATTTAATTTATCGAATTAACTTTGAATTCATCAAACTAACACAAAATTAACAATCAATTCTATGTAATTAACATTGCATTTTATCTAATAAGCATTTAATTCACTAAATTTACATTCAAATTCAATTAGTTAACATTAAATAAATCAAATAAACTTTCAATTACATTCAATTAACACTTAATCCATCAAATTAAGATTCAAATTATTAAATTAATATTAAGATTTATCAAATTGACATTCAATTTCATCAGATTAACATGTAATTTTATCAAATCAACATATAACTTTATCCAATTTAAATTTAATTAATCAAAGTAACACGAAATTAACATTCAATTCATCAAATTAACAATCAATTTCATGTAATTAACATTCAATTTTTTCTTACAAGCATTTAATTTACTAAATTAGCAGTCAAATTAAACTAGTTAACATTAAATTAATCAAATAAACTTTCAATTTCATTCAATTGACACTCAATTCATCAAATTAACATTCAAATTATCAAATTAACATTAAGATTTATCAAATTGACATTCAATTTCATCAAATCAACACCAAATTAACATATAATTTTATCCAATTAAAATTTAATCTATCAATCTAATAGTAAATTAACAATCAATTT